TGATAAGCCTATTAGAAATATGCTTTGCAATGAAATATATCCCACTCCCTACCCCCATAAACTGACATGTTGACAAGCTATGAGACATTAAACATGCTAATGTCAGTGGATCAGGCATTCCTTCTGTCATTATTAACAGCATTTCAGTGGTAAATCTGGCTTAACATATTGTATGTTGAGATTTGCTTTCCAGGAAAAGGATGCTATTTGACAAATAAGATAGAGCCAGATTACCCATGATAATACAAAGAGGACAGCAGGTGTATTTGGCACCTCCAGGCACCTGTCAGCTACAAGTTGTGGACTGTGCAGGAGACAGTAATTGCAAAATAGTTAAACTGCACCTTCAGCTGTGGGGCTGAACATGTCAAGGTCTTAAGGGTCCTCCTGAACCTTATTACTTGTAGAGCAGCAACAGAACATCTCATCTGCCTGAGAAACATCACCTCCAGAGGCAGAGGGGAACAAGGGGACCAGTGTCGAGGTAGATAATTAGTTTGCTGAACAATAGCTGTATAGCATAGTTGATCCCTTTGCATTGAATTAAGATATAGAGAGGACTGGAGTACAGTCCTAGTATTTTTATATGCTCTTGCCTTTTTTGCTTCCTATCCCTTTCTTAGCCACTGTCAAACTGCTGAATCACAGCACAGATCCAATATCCAAAAAGTCTGTCTTGGTTATCTCTTATTTTCAGTGTCTTTTTATTGGCCAAATCCACAATCAGAAATGTTCAAAACAAAGATATATGGACTCGCATATATTAACTAGATCTTTTTGTGGTGTGATAAATGTATCTTCCACCAGAACAGTAATTCCAATGGCAAATTTGTGAGTAAATCAGGATAATTAGTTAAATCAGTAGTTTTTTTGGCCCATGAATAGAAATCTTCATGCTCTTGCTACTGCTGAAAACAAACTGAGAATAACCATGTCCATGAGAATAACAATTTGTTCTGGCACCCTTTTCTTCCCCAGAGGAATCACCTTAGCAAAGATTTGTTAGCCTATTCATAGGTAGTTTAAACAATATTATTACTATTACAATATTTTCAGGAAGGTAAAAGTGCCATCCACTTGTGCCCAGGGAAAACAAAGGGGCTCAGCAGTTGCTAGCATGTTTCCACCGGCACCACAAGTAGGACCACCAAAAAAAAACCCCCAAAAACCTCAAGACAAATTCCTTATGATACTGTGTGCAAGTTGAAGAGGAAATATTATGAGAGCCTAAGAGGAGTCTATTTTAATGCACCATCCAGAAGCATTATTTCACCTGACAGTTATTCACAAGTTTCCTACCGGCTAAATATTTTGCAGATAAACAGACAGAGGTTTCAAACACATTTGGATTCTGCCTATTTAGCCTGGGAAAGGCTGTACTGCTGAGAAAAATGTAGACGCTGTAGGCTTTGGTATCATGTTCAGAGGAACAAGGTGGGTAGGTTAGGGCATTAGGCACTATTATACTCTAGGAAATAAAGAGCAGACTGGGACACAATGGAAGTGCTTCATTTTATTTTAAATGGGAATAGTTCCAAGGATAGGAAAGCCTTTGGTGCTTATGAAGGATTAAGCAGGGTAATGTGCTTTTTAAGAAGACATAAAGAGGTATGTAATGTGATATATTTAAGCCTAAATGATTTTTCTTAGAGTCTTCAATGAATGTCTAAGCAGGCATGACTTAGGCCTCTGTAAATTCTCTCTGAATAAATAAATTCTGCAAAAATAGAGATTCCTTTGACAGAATGAGATGCATATTTCATAACCTATGCAAAAAATGAAAATCAATTTGAGATACATGAAACACTTAAGAATAACAAAGGAAAAAGAAGATAAAAGTGAATATTCTCCAGAATAATCCAACTATATATATATAGGAATACGGCTACCTCCCCATCCATTTTGATTTGACAGAGCAGCAAGATAAACAACTGAATGATTTCCTACCTTCAATTCAGATCTTCAAGTGCTTTTTGTTGCCTTTTGAAAAAGGAAGAGATAATAAGTGGCAGAAAATATCTAAAGTGCCTGTGCTTTTCAGGCTGTGTCCTGTTTGAGGCATTTAAAACTCTACTCTCTCTTCAGGGTAAATCTACCCAGCTGCTCTCTAACCAGACCTGATGGTGTGTATAGCTGTTCGCTATGGATGGAATAGGAGTGCAAACACAATGATACGTATGCACCTGATTTACGAGAAGAACGGGACCAATAAATATCAAACCCTGAAAACTTACAATGGCACAATCTTCCCACCTTATTTCTCTTGCCTGCTCTGCCCTCCTGCCAGGAAAAGTAGGTTAAAGCTGTAGATTGCCTGATGCAAAATGGGCCTATGCAATCATTGTCATTTGGCTGCATTGTATTTCCACTCACACAGATGCCATTTCCCATGAAGTCACTGGTATAGCAAGCATGCAGTCCTGTGGAGTGACTGGGATGATGCCATGAGTAAATTGGCAGTTGATCCCCCTTCCCTTCCCCTTGTTTATATATCCATTAGTATTAAACTGCTTCTCTCCTCAAAATAAAAAGAGTGCCAGCTCCAAAAAATTGCAGAAGAAAAGCTAGACAAAACTAAAGGACTTTTATGATATAACAAAAATGTTTGGCAAATCCTCTTCTGTGCTGGCTGCTTGCAGAACCCATTTAACCTCAGAGAGGGTGCAGCAGGGAATGATATTAAAGAAGTACAAGTCCACTGCGTCCGTAACATCCTTCCTGCACACCTCTCTCCCATGACGGCCCCTCCTATCACAGTCCTTTCATGGTCATTAGGCAGCCTAGTGGAAACCCCTTTCCACACTCGTTAAGTCTCAGCCTTCACCTGGCTCTCCAGGAGCGTGTGCCGAGATTACGGCCTCAAAGAGCTTGGACAAACTGCTGTTCGGTCATGGTTAGTGCTGATTAATGGTAGAAACAAAATGAAGCACAGAGGGAGACCTGTTGGCTTAGCTTGTCCAGGGTTAAAATCTGCTTGAGTTAATAGCTCTGATGTGGCAAGTTAAATTTGTTCAAGACCCCGAAGAACATTATGAAGTATATAAATAGACCAAGGGGACCCATGAATTCTTTCCTCTGAAATGTTTTCCTTTTATTTAAAGTATGTTACATGGTTTAAAATCTCTGCCTTTTATCAGCTAAATTTTGAATATTACTTTTCCTTGCCTAAGATTAGCTTTTAGCATCACATTCTTCATCCAGCTTTCTTTCTGAGCAGGCCAAATAAAATCTCCCACAAGCTTCTGCGTGAACAGCAGCTGGCAAATATTTTTTTTCTGTCCTTTCTTCCTGTAAGGTGAAAGAAAGGGAGAAACTGCGCACAGATAAGTGGATGTGTATATTCTTTAGATTTGGGCCTGAGCCCTCTGATATTTTAAAATTGGAGCTGGTTGGTTCGCTAACATGCTGCAACTTGGTTTTTCAACATCAACATTTGCAAGTGCTTATTCCTGGGAAGCAGAGGCTTAGGAAATTAAAGAACTCCGATATTTCTGGTTTTGTAGGTTTTAGGATAGCAACTGCCATATTTTCAGGAATGAGAAATCAAAGACTGTAATCTGGAATTACCTGCCAGCATGATACACCAATTGTTTTTTTTCAGCTAAAAGCCATTAGTCAATACAGCTATTTTTGACGGGCTCTGTTTTTTGATTCTTCTGAAACCCTTAGTATAACTTGGGAAGGCAAACCAGAAGGTTTTTTTTATACAAAAGGCAAACCCCAGCTTTATCAGTCCCTTACAAACTGAGCTAAAATATATTTTCTAAAAAGAAAAAAAAAGCAATTTCCTCTAGCCAATATATCTTCAAACTGTCTTTTTTCCCCTTACTTTTCCAGCTTATGACTTTATCTAAAGGAGTTTCAGAAGTGCAGTTCCCCAGGGTCTGTCTTGCCTCTTCTTTCATGCTGTTTAGTCCTTCAGAGGAGAAATATGATCTCAGTTATACAGAGGGTGGATTATAGTGATTTCTAAAACTCCAAAGAATCCTTGTTATTTTGTAGTTCTTTTATTATCAATAGATCACCAGTGATTTCATCATTCTTTTTAACATATTCTTTTCTCTTACGTGTTTGTATCCAATGTGAAAATATCAGAAATTACAGGTTTTCATGGGAAATGGACTTTGGTGGAGACAAAATACAGAGTTTGCCTGGATTTTTAGAAGTCTCTAAATCAAGCTTAAAAGAAAGTGAACACACAACTTCCTGGAGATTTGCTCTAATAAATCTTCACATTTTGAAGTTTAAAATAAAATCTATAAAACATGATATTCCTCAGATTCGATTTAAAACATAGAATATGAAGATACAATGGTAGAGAAAAAGTTTGTATACAGTCACTCATTAACTCATTTTCACTCTCATACTGAACCCTTTTCTGGACTAGTGTTCCATGAAAGTTGTAGCTGTCAACCAAAAACATGGGAGGGAACTATTGTGTTCACAAACATGACTACAAAAATTGATTCCTGCTTTCAAAGCATTTTCCTACTGCTAAACCCGATACAGAACGTGGCTGTAAGACTCTGCTTTAAAGTCAGATCATCTTTCTCTGTCTGTCTCTCTCAAAACATACATAACTCAGATCTACAACTGAAAGCCAAGATTTTCAGTGTCAGAAGTCTACAAAAATAAGTTAATCAATGTCTTGTATTCAAAGTGCTTTAAGCTTTATGCAGGATATTGCCACATCTTCTGGGGAAAGAAGTCCAGTGACCCTATTCCCATTCTGCATCCTGACAAATGCATTCATCTCTCATACCTATAAATCCTTTTCAGAGCAAACGCTCTAGGTACTTACATTTTAAAATGTCACAAGCTACATAGCTGAGAAGTTCCAATCCTCCATATTGATGCAATGAGCTTGCAGAAATTGGTACCAGGCATGATCACTATCTGGGTGTAAATGCATCCCTTATAGGTAAAAGCAATAACTAAGCAAATGTGGTGCTGCAGCAGAACATCTCCAACGGGAAGCAAAAAGTAAGTCATACCGGTACCTTTTGAATGCCTGCGGTCGACTCCAAGACGTTGTTCTCTGAGCCGTTACTTCTGTTAATCATCCGCCACATTTGGGAATACATGCTGTCCCTCTCAAAAGGATTCATCCCTTTCACTCGGACATGCTCATAGACTGCAGAGTCCAAGACAGTGCCATAAGGAATATCCGTCTGCCTTGAGAGATCCTGGAGAGACCTTAATTGTTGGTGAAGAAAAGAGACACAGGAGACTTGAAGCCACATTTTCAAGAGAAAAGAGCTGCAGGCAAGCAAAGGGCAACACATAGGAAGACGGTTGTCAAGCCAGCTTCTTTTGTAGTTTTTGGTTGTTTTTTTGTTTGTTTGTTTGTTTGTTTTTTCTTAAAAGACAAAGCAAGACTGGAAAATTGTTTCTATGGTTAAAGACACAAGGAGGAATATGAAGTGAAAGGGTGGAAAAAGTGAAAATAGATGAAAACAGAATAATAGAGAGATGAAGAGTATCCTGTCAAATGCCAAGCTCCTTTGAGCAGGGGCAAAGGGGAGAAGGGAGCATTGCAGTCCCTCCAGCCACATGCAGCAAGTTCAACAGAAGTTGGGTAACTGCCTATGAGAGTATGGTGCCACCACACACCCTGCCACTGGGAAGCAGGAGTGTTAGCACCAGAACTCACCAGTTCTAGCCCAAAGTACTTGGGCTGAGTACTTCTATGCACTACTAGGTTACAAAGTGAAGAGCAGTTTTTTGGTGGTGTTCCTGCACTGAACTGTGCACCTGTTACACAGGTAATATCTTACACTATTTTCAGCAATAGGAAGACCTCTGTTGTGGTTTCATGAACTGCCTTTTCATGACAGTCCATGTTATTTAGTCCAATAAATTTGTTCTACTTTACATATTAACTAGTGTTATCCATTCCCTATATGCAACAAAAATTCACCAGTTTAGAATTTTCAAAAGCATCCCAAATACAGTTTTGCCAACCCTGCTTTGGACTTTAAAAGGTATAACAGAACCCTTTAAAGTCTCCCTACCTCCTGGCCTTTATTTTTCAGTCCTATAGAATTGCTCTCCTGTACCTTCTGTTCTTTAATGGCATTCATTAAACTTTCAAAATAACTACTGCAATATGTCTGCTGCCTAAAACCCATTACAGCTTTCCTGGCACAAATTAACTTTGTATAAATTGCACAAATCTAGTGGATGACACCTAAGGACAAATCAAGGGGCTGAATGTTGTCTTAAAGTAGGCATTAGCAAATTGTAAAAGCTCATCACAGCCATAGAAAATGCAAGCACAAATGTAGGAAACTCAAGCAATTCTGTCTTTCTAAAACATGTAAATATAGAGGCAGTGAAAAAGGCCCTACAGGGAGGAAAAAATGGAATTCTTAGGTGTTCCAAGGATGGCACTGGAGAAAATGGTAATCAGATCTCAAAAGATATGTAAGCCTCTGAACACAACAGAAAGTAGGAAAGAAGAAATCAACAGAGCTCAATGGCAAGGGTTTAGAGGTTAGTTGAGTCAAAAAGAAATCCTTTGAAAAATGAAAACATATGAGCTCAGAAAAAACGTTGAACAAGACCTAAATTCTAAGCAGATAACATTGCAAATATAAGGAAGTGATAAACTTAATTTTGAAGCGTAATTAAGGAATAGTACATTAAACCCCCATAAGCTTTTCCACTTTCTTCAACAAGACAGCATTCCTCTTCAAGAACATAAGCAGCAGGGAACCTGCAATGAATCCATACACATATGGGATCATAAAAGGTGAGCTGCTAGATGAAGCATTTCCTGAAACCAAGTATATTGGTCTTCTACCAAAGAACTGAGACTTTCCCTTTACTAGGAAGAAAAATGTAAGACTCTAGTAGACTAAGGTATCAGGACAATAAGTACTGTGGCTAATTTGTAATTGAAAAGTAAAAAAAAAAAAAATAAATAATCAGTCCAGATAAACACCTGTGAGTTCTGAAAGATTAAATATGAAATGGGCTGAGCTGTTAGTAAAAATGTGAAACCTCATTGTAACTAGTGTATGAAACGGAAGTGGTAAATATTTTTAAAAGGCTCTAGTGGTAATCAGGGGAATTATGAAAGTAAACTATAAGACGTTGTACTTAGGTTTAATAAACAAACTGAAATAAGGATTAGTACAATTTTAAAGATCAGTCCTGAAGATTAGACATAGCCACCAGATAGGTTTCTCCAGGGAAAACAATTCAACCATCTATTACAATTTGAAATTACTAAAAAAAGCCCAAGAATTTTGAAAAGGCCTTAATCTCATCAAACAATATACAGAAGGTGGAATTATGGACAGGATACAAAGGAGGAATTTAGAAACACTTTCTGGCAACTCTGGATAGCATTAGGAAAGCCCATACTCAGCTAGAGTGTGGATGCTCTCAAGGGACTTCAAGGGTAACAAGAACAGCTTTTGCAGAACTAAAAGGCTGAACAAGGGACATATGGACCTGTTGAGGGGGACAGTTGGCACGGCTAAGTTTGGCGTGCTCAATGCCTTCTTTGCCTCACTTTTCCCCAACAAGGTCTCCCAGATCTCTGTGACTAAAGGCAGGGTTCAAGGAGGTAATGAACAACCAGCAGTAGGTAGTCAGGTAAATCACAACTAGACAAGGTAGGGATTGATTGAGAGCACTAGACCTGTAGAGAGACCTGGAAGGCTGCATCAAAGTGTGCTGAGAGACCAGGCCAATTAAAAAAAAAGCTCCTTGCTTTAATTTTTGAAAGGTGAAGGAAATTGGAAGACATCCCTGACCACTGGAGAAAGGAAATGTCCAGACTATATTAAAAAAAAGATTAAAAAGATGATTAATGGAATTAAGGACGGTCATCCAACAGCATGGAGTGAGTCCTCTCAGAGCACATTTCTGAGCACATGAAGAAGAAGAAGCCAACTAGGAGTAGTCAACATTGATTTACCAAAGGTAAGTCATGCCTGACCAATCTGGTTTTGTACTACAGTAAAATGACTTGGCTTGTGGACAAGAACAGAGAAATGGTTGCAGTTTACCTTAACTTTACCAGGGCTTTCAATATTGTCTCCCACAATATCCTTGTATCCAAATTAGGTCATTAGGTCTGTCTGAGTGGGAAACTAAATGGATTAATTCCTGGTTGGATAACCAGGACCATAAGGTAGCTCACCTGCAGGCTGGTAACAGGTACCACAGAGGTCTAACCTGGGACATGTCTATATCAGTAACCTGGAGGAGGTGAGTAAGCACCCTCTTGTCAAGTTGCAGATGACATAACGTTGGGGGACCAGCTGATTGCTCAAGGACAGGCTGCCATTCAGAGGGACCTAGAAAGGTTGATGGAATGGGCTGACAGGAGAGGTATGAAATTCAGCAAGGAAAAATGCAAAGCCTTACACCTGGGGAGAAATAACCCCTTGCAACAACCCAAGCTGGGCACAGTTCTGCAAAAAGGCACCCTGGTAGGCAGCAGCGGGCCTTGGAGAGAATTTCTCTCCGTTTAACCATTAGGCAAAGTGTTGCGTAGAAGTAGGTGGATTACTGTTGCATTGACAGTCTATCTATCTGTCAAAAGCATCACTGATGAAAGGCACTAGATAAATATAACATACTATATTTATCCATTTTGTATTACTGCTGCTGCTGCCAATACACTTCCATATCCCCTGGCAGTGCTCAGAAGTGCAATGAACTGTCACAGGATGTATATTCTAACGTCCTGTAATTACTGTGTTATTTGTCACACATATTGCTAGAAAAGTATACAAAAAGAATTTGAGTCTCCAATTTTTGGTGACAACACCTAGCAAAATTGCAATCATTACTTTACAAGACTGTATAGCCATATAATTTCTATTATAACAAGCACCAAAGCATTAGTCTGAAATATTATTGCTAACTGGTATATAAATTATGCGTGTAGCTGCTGCCACAAACCAGTATGGTTAGAAATAGCACAAGAGAAAAACAGTTTCTCTGTATACCTTGTGGCTATGAAAGAAATCTTGCTATTTTCAGAAAGGCAGACCAACACAAGACATGAGCTGTTAGTCCAGAAGCGTACTACAATCAAGTATGGGAAGTGTACTACAAACAGCCTGAGAAGCAAGCAAGAGTGCCATCACACACAAAGACATCACCACCAGGGAAACGGCAAGGAGGAGAATTATGTCGCTGCTTTCAGGAAGGCATGCTGTAGCTGCCAAGTCTGGCATTAACTACAGTCTGCAGTGCTTTACTGTTTGGTGTGCTATCCTAAACCATAGGATGCTTCTTAGCTGCCCTGCTCTGCATCTTTTCACAAGTGCAGGTGCTGCTGTATGCTGAGGAAATAATGACAAGAGGACAAGAGTGTGTGTGCACACTCTACAGATGTGCTAAATGCTGTTGCCAGCAGTAAACCCCAAGTTTTGGTTCACCTGACCCCATGCTGAGGAGGGTGAAAGAAGTTTTGCAGCCTTTGAGGCGTACATATGCGTACACTGCCATGTGGGCAAGCTACAAAAATGGAAAAGACCTATCACATCAGTTACTTCATCCCCTCACACAAACATGTCAAATGGGATCATAATATATATGACCTCCTTCTGAACCCGTTTCTTGTAATCTGCAACTCTGCTGACTACTGGTATGTCATTCACAACCTAGCAGCTAAGGTACAACAAAACAAAGAGAAATGACAAACCTTAACAGAACTAATAAAATTATTAAACTGTTGAGTTCCTTTCCAGAAGAAAGAATTTTTATAACTACTTTGCCTCCAGCTTGGTTTGTAGGTTACACATTCTTCGGTGTACCTTTATTCCTGAATTAAACAACTCATTCTCTCTTCAGACAAATATATTTAGTGGAGACATAAATCCTCAGCCTCACATCTAGTCTCACCACATAGCTGCTACATCAGGTCTCAAAGTAAGGAAAAAGTATTTCTCAAGCTAATTAATTCCTACAGGGTATAAAATAAAATACCTTCAACTGAGCTTGTACATAGACAAATTCTGCTTCTACAGAAGTGACCATGCAGACAGGCCACAGTTCAGCATAATTTTGATTATCACTCATGAAGCACTGTGGGGAAAAATGTTATGTGTGGTCTTTATGGTAAATTTTTTTCTAATTGCAATTACTGGGATAATACCAATAGTATCTCAAACAAATTAACTACAATATAGGGCTATTCTGAGGATGAATTGAGTCATTTGAGGATGAAT